TTCAGTTGAATATCTAGTCATAGAAGACAATCAATAATGTTTAGTTTATGCTGTAGGACTTCAATACATTTTAGCCACACGTAAGGATGAGTCTCTGTAAGTCCAGCACTGACTATCACTGCACCACGCACACAAAACATTTCAAAATGTTAGAGTTTGAGACATTCAGAAGGTTATTTGTCCAACCTCATTATATAATTAAATAAGTTAAGGTGCAAGAGCAAAAAATAACTAAATCCACGACCTTTCAGATAAAATGCTAGTTAACCAGAAGCTAGAATCCAGGTGTCTTAGCCACCAGCTCAAAGCAAGTTGTGTACTACTGTGTGCTAACTGACAGCATTTTCTCATGCACACCTTTTTTGGTATCAGGACCTTCTGCCCGACCTAAACGTAGTTGCAAACAGAATGGCACATCAGTTGGGACATAACCTTGGGATGCAGCATGACGATGACCTGTGTCCCTGTACTTTGGGAAAATGCGTGATGGACAGTGGTGCCAGGTGAGGCTCAGAGAGCACAGAGGATGTGTTTAAATGTTGGGGGAGTGGCTTTAGATTAAAACTCAATATTGTGGGTGTACGTTGTTATTATGTGGAATTTTCCTCACATACCTTGGAAGGTCTGTTATAAAACCAGGCATGGTAAGGACTTTCCTATTTGGGGCTGAATCTGCCTGGTTGGTAGTGTCTCTCCTTTTGATATGGGGACAGAAATTCTAAGACTCCATCAGGACATATTGCAAAAGTGCATGACACTCAATGAGTCTTATGGCAAGGTGCTCAGGAGAGGAACACACTCTCCCTGCCTTATTTCATCATCTTTGAGATAAGCTCTCAGGTCCTCTTTCAAATCTCTACTCAATTGTTCTCAGCAAAACTTTCCCGGCCACCTGCTCCAATCTTTCAGTCTAGTCCCCTCACACAGACCTCCTGGCGTTATCCACCTCCTCCCACTTTGCTTTGTTTTTCCTCCTTAGTACGTATCACCATCTAACGTGGTCTGTGTCCTACATAAAATTCAGCTTGTGAATTATTTCAGTCCCCCACCGGAAGAGGAGCTTCATGAGGTCAGAAGGTTTTGTCTGTTTTGTTCACTGTCCTATCAACACTGTCCAGAAAAGTCCAAGACACGTAGTAGGTACTCCATCAATTATTACAGAATGAATGAATGCCCAGCATTCCCTCTTCGTGCTGTGAGTCATGTGTGGTCAGGTCCTGAGCCCTGCACGTCTTTGAACTCCTTTATGGGAAGTACAAACAGTGCATTGTTCATAGCAAGAAAAGTGATGGTAGGCGATGATCAGTGCTTCTGTATATTCATGAGTTAAAGTAGCTGAAGTACCCGAGGGCAGTGACTGGCATAGGGTGAGAACGCAATTAGCTGATGTCTGATTTTACATCATTGTCTACATAATTAGTAATCTCTTGGAGGGGTGCCCATCATCCCATTTGAATGTCTCCGAGACTTTAAAAGTCCATCTGTATCCAATCACAGTATCAATAAGAATGGCAAGGACTATGTATAAAAATAGATTAATAAAAAAATTCCCTTCTGTAAAGCACTATGTTCAATATCTTCTAATAACCCTTAATGAAAAAAATATGAAATATATGTACTTATATATGAATATATATATGTACTTATATGCATGACTGGGACACTGTGCTGCACACCAGAAACTGACACATTGTAACCGACGGTACTTCAATTAAAACAAAATAATAATAGTAATAATAATGGCGAGGGAGTCAAAACAAAAGATGGGAGAGAGGTGAGGTTCAGTTTAAAAAGAAGTAGGTCACATTCCTGGGATGTGTAAGATAGTATTGATTTTTTTTCCCCCAAAATGTTTGGAGAGAGCTACTTTGTGCCAGGCACTGTGTTATTATTATTTTTTTACTATGTATAAGGTACATGTTTCAAAGATGAAACTATTGACTTTCTATGTATTAGGTGATGATTTTAAATATTTATATAGTAAATATATTTGTATGATTTTTCCTTAAATATCAAGCTCTGTTTTTTCAGTAGACTAAAATGTTTTTTAAAAATCGGTCCTTATTTTTTAAAAATTTGAAACGTGATTCAGTCACTGTTCTGAGGAGGCATCCTGCGTGGATGATAGACGAATATATAGATTATTTTAAGGGGAACAAATAAAACGTGACGTGGGAGCAGCAGACACAGTGAGTGGAAATCGTGGGCTTCAAGAAGGATGTTCTGGAAGATATATACTCTGAGAGTTTTCGCTACCAGAGCACGTGTTGGCTGCGTTTCAAGAAGACATTTTGTATAATAAACAGCCCAGTTACTACTCTGCTATAGCAGTAAGGCAAGAGTAAGGAAAGTAAATGGACTTCGAGTCCAGCGTTTATATTTTTTTTGTCCTCACTTCTTGCTAACTTTCGCAGCTCTCCTACCGCTATGCCTTGATGTGATTAATGTTCGCTTTTCACTCGTCCCACCCCTAGCATCCCTGCACTAAAATTCAGCACCTGCAGCAGAACCCAGTACCTGCAGCACCTGGAGGAGCACAAGCCAACGTGCATGTTCAACGTCCCGTTTTCTGAGAAGCTAAGTGATTACCCCTACTGTGGAAACAAGAATTTGGATGATGGAGAGGAGTGTGACTGTGGCCCTGTGCAGGTACTGGCTCATGATGTGGTCTTTAAATTGCAAAGTTTATGCTTTGCCCGAACCTAGGTGGAGACGCAGCCATTAATCAACCATGACATTCCTTGTAAAGCTTTAAAAACTGTTTTTTTTTTTTAAATTTGGAAACAAGCCGTTGGTACTGCCTCACTGCAAGGCTTCTTACCGAGTCCTGAATTGTGTGTAATGATCTTGCCCTCGGTCCACAGCATCGCGTTAGCCTGGTTTATATATTAATTGGCAGTTCCTGTGAGAAGAGCCCATGGGTGTCCTTAAGTCTGATTTCTCACACACCGTAGGAATGTTTTCTAGGAAACGCGCATAATCAGTCAATTGGGTTTTACTCAAGGCCTTTTGAGGCTAGCCGAGATCCCAGTTCGTTGGATCACATTATTAGAAAACTTAGCTGAGCAGAAACCTCCTAAATTTACACATAGTTACAAACTCTGGAACATTTACAATAAGCCTTTGAGGCTGTGTTAAATTAATTAATTCTTAATCTGCTTTTCTCTGGCATGGAAGCTATTTCTTTCAAGAGTTCAGGGTACAGGTCTGTGTCCTAGATAACTGCTTCTCAAATTATCAAGCGCTTATAAATCACCTGGGCATGCTGTTAAAATGTAGATGCTGATTCAGTAGGTCTGGGGTGGATCTGAGATCCTGTTCCTGCCAACCTACAAGGCTATGCTGCTGTTACTGGCCCAAGGACCACAGTTTTGTAGCCATGCTGTAGACAGCATGCGATTCAACAGAAGTCAAAGAGGATCATGCAGCTAAAAGACTGCATGAGCACCCTGACATGTCGAGAAGTTAGAGCTTCTAGTCTTCAAATGTCTCCTTAAAGGGGAAGAGAATCTTAACTCTGGAAACTGATGCTTTTGCCCACGTGCAGTCCTTGGAATGGTTCTCCAGTTTGGTTCTAACACATGAAGTACCTTACGTGACAAGACGCAGACAAGGGTTTTGGAGCTTTAGTTTCAATGAACAGATAGGATCTAAATGCCCACTTTGCTATTATCATCTAATGAGGCATTAAAAATAAAAAGCCAAAGGGCAGCCTGAAATACTTAATGTCTTGAGGGAAATATAAAATCAGATCTTCAGAAGTTGTATTATCTCAGAGCAAACCTTCCACATGAGAAGCAGCAGGACCCTTCCAGAGAACGGAAGTCATCCGGAAAAGGAAAGGTCACCAGCTTTGGACTTTGTATGCTCGCAGTGCGAATTCATCAGCTGTGGAGTTCGGAGCAGCCACAAGGGAAGGAAAAGAGTCCCAAACACCAGCTGCAAGCAGGAGTCTGTGTACACACATCATAGCTCAGGACCATGCAGTTGGATGTCACTGTGAAAATCAGTTAAGGCTAAGTTACACAGAAGCACACCACATCAACTCTTCAAACAGGAGCCAAGCTACAGACCACTTCTGATCTTTAATTTTCCATTATTGCTAGGAGTGTGCTAATCCTTGCTGCGATGCACTCAAGTGTCTGCTGAAGCCAGGATTCACTTGTGCGGAAGGAGAATGCTGTGACTCTTGTCAGGTGAGATCCTTTGCTGGGACTGGGTTTCTCTGGTTTCAGTTCGCTCAGTATCCTTAGGACCAGAGAGATGTCTGACCACCGAATGACCTGACACCACTAATCCCAGACTGGGGCCACGCTTACTGGTGCCCAGAAGAGCCTTCTCTGAGATGCTCTGACTTCTGAGCTCTGGGCAGTGCTTTGGTCTGGAGGGTGGAGAAGCAGGTGAGCAGTGCTTGGACTTTCAGGAGTGGAGTTAGGTGACATTTATATGACACTATTCTTTCGTAAACCATCACCAACCGATTTAACCTTGGCTGGGGGAAAACTGACATTCCAGCAACAGTGAACTAAAAGGGGAAAAGGGTTCTATGGGAATTGGAAAGCGACAGGGACTAGTATCCCCGGAAGGATGACTAGAAACCCAAATGCCTCTCTTCAGGGGTTTATGGGCACTTCTTCCAAACCACTGGATTGTGAACTGAACAAAGGAACGGAAGTGTGTGTTATTCATCTCCAAATCTTTCCAAAACCCCAGCACAATTACATGCATCTTGAATGGCTGAACGAGAGAGTATTTCTACATAGTGCCCTCCAGCAATGACAGCCAAGGTGTTATTTTAGTTCATCTGGAGAGATCTGATTTCTTGGGAGTGAGGATTCCTCGTTAGAGTCAGCGGCTCCCAGCTGTGTGTGTGGTGGGCTGGGGACGGAGGAAAGGGACGTCCTAAGCAAGAGATGAAGACAAGATGAACAGAGCACATGCTCGTGTCTCTATTTTATGTCCATTCCAACTCTGCCCCAGTGCTGTTCTAACATCAAATTTCAAAACACCGGCTTGTGAGTCCTAAAATTACATAAAAGTCAATAATGGTAACAATTCTCCATGGAATGGAGAAGGAAGTCCTGGTCCATGCTCAAAGCCTTTTCTGGATAAATTAAATGGGTCAGCCTACTTACTTCCTCCTACTTCCTGAACCTTCCCCACCTAAGTGTGTCCAGGAGTCAATGGCTTCGTTTTCCTTCCACAGATGAAAAAAGCAGGGTCTATATGCAGACCAGCAAAAGACGAATGCGATTTTCCTGAAGTGTGTACTGGCCACTCTTCTGGGTGTCCTAAGGACCAGTTCCAAGTAAATGGATTTCCCTGCAAGAAGGCAAAGGGCTACTGCTTCATGGGGAGATGTCCCACCCGGGATGACCAATGCTCTGAATTATTCGATAATGGTGAGGGACCATTACAGGGAATGCCTGGTGAAGATAACAGTCATTATTTCTCTGTTATTGATTGGCCTTTAGGAATTTGGGGGCAAGACTGGAGATAATGCCGTTTGTGGCCTCCTTCCAAGCTATTACCTGCCATCCTTCTGAATAATAATTTTAATGTTAATTGATATTACCTGTAATATTAATTGACTAGTTCAGTATGTAGGTTAAGGTCTGTTTGTTACTTTTTTTATACCCATATTCCTTCCTAAAACATCCTCCAAAGGCAGTAGGCTAGTTTTTAAATTATTTACCCCATCCTGCGTCACCACGGCATGATAGTGGAAGTCCCAGTTACCACAGACAAGTCAGGCATTTTATGATGTGTAATATTCTTGGGTTCATTGTTTTCCTTTTCTCATACCGTTTCCTTTTCTCATACCATACAGATGCAAAAGACAGTCCCGGTATGTGCTACAAGATGAATAAAAAAGGAAATAAATTTGGATACTGCAAAAACAAGGAACAGACGTTGATTCCCTGTGAAGAAAAGTAAGTGTCTTGCAAAATCAGAGCAGCTCTTGTTCTGGCAGCTGCCAACCTCTTTTTTACGGAGGAGATTAGGAAGAAAAGGAAGTAACCAGGCAGTGAGCACACATGCCTGTGGAATTAACTGGTGTTTATGTTCCGTGTTTTGTAACTGAAAGTAACAGAATAGAAGGAAGAAAGGGGGAAGATGTAAGATTCTCAGGAAGAAAGAAGCTACAAAAAAAAAAGCTAACAGGAGAAAGGAGGCAATAAGTAGAAAAGGGGAGAAAAGGAAGAAAGAAGGAAAGAAATAAAGCCATAAAAAGCAAGAAAGGTAGGGGGGTAGAGGGCGGGAAGGGATAGACTGGGATTTCAAAATTGTAGAATAG